CGATACGGTCGAATGATACTGGTCAGTGGATACCATGTTTTGACCACTGTCATGTGATCTCAACATTGATGTGCAGCAGGAGCCCATAATTGGCTCCCAAACTAGCTAGAAAGTGTGAGAGTAGATATTGGTTTCCCTGACGTGTGGACTGACGGTCGCTCGCTCGGTATACGGTCACGTGATTCCCAAATTTTCTGGGATGGGTAAATCTGCTTAGCTGTGGGACTGCGCCCACGCGCGTGCGTGAAGCTCTGCTATGAAAAAGAACTTCGATATAACGAAATCTCGTCATAGCGAACAAATTTTGCCAGTGGCTTGGCCCTTCGTTATATCGCGGTTTCGTTTGAACTATTTTGCGTCGCATATTTACTGATTTTGTTACGCGGAGCTAGATTACTCAGAGAGTGAGAGGTACCGGTGCGTTGTAACAAAATTGATATCTTTCAGAGTCCAGGTAGAAATAGACTACTAATGACAATAGTTAGAGTTAGCCAGCAAATAATCGTTAAATTTCAATCATAGTGTGGCAATGGCCTCTATCTTATCATTATCATAATGATTATTATATCAATTATTAGTGGCGCCAGCTCCGAATCATATTTACTACAAAATTATACACCAAGCTTTGTTATCAGGTAGAGGGCCCGTACTCGAGACGACAGGATAGCTGCTTAACAGTTCCAAGTACCATAGGCTATATATATTGCAGCGTCTGTGATGTTGCTCCCATGACAAATATTCCACTGTTTTTGTCTTATATTAAAAACTATGGTAAGAGTTGTTACAAATTCAGTCAGCACGGTTAAATTGCGACAACTAATTACGAAGGGGGAATGTAATAAAGTTTTTCCTGAAGGTTATTAAAAATTTCGACAGAACACATGTTAAAACTTAATGTCGCATTGCAAGCGAGGCCCCTTAGAGCAAAAGATTGTTTGGGCAACTTGTGGAATATGATATCACTATATATGCACTTTGCTGCTTATCGCCTTTTTTACGAACAAAAGGCCAAAGCTTGCTTTGCCTAATTCGCACTGACTCTTAAATCGCATAGCCGACTTGCGAAAAATGATTTAGAGTAGTGGACGAAGAGTAACTGAAGGTATAGTTTCTGCCACCGCTTGCTCCAGCATGGAAATTAAATCCGCGCCGAACTGAGACTTGTTATAAATGAATATAGCATTTCTTTTACTGTTTTGCAGGTGTTAATACAGCAAGTGAAATTGTTTTTAATCAAGAAACATTAAAACTTATTGGTAAGTCCCTAATTTGGTCATGTGATATATATTACGTTGTAGATGCCCCATTTTGACAGCTTTCGGTACAAGAGTTCCATTAACAAGATTTTGGTTTCGCTATCTTAAATAACAGATGATCTTTAGCTACTTCGAAAGAACCGTTCACGAGGAGCCAAGAGAGGAGTGCCAACGCGTTCGATTTAGTGTCAGAAGCTTTCATAGAGACATGCAGCCTAGTTACCGAGGAGATTCTGGGCGACGTTCTTGGTGGGGTGCTGGTATCACCACAGCGATGCAAATGGCGTTTGAGTTGATAAACAACCGGTCTGATATTTTACCATATTTCGAGCTGAAACTACTAGAAAACGACACTCGGGTAAGAGTAATAGAGTACTGAATACGGCTACTAAGAGCATCAACTAAAAGGTGTTTCGATGCAGTTTTTGGAGACCATGCCGACAAAGTTCAATCGCTTTAAAAGTCATTTCATCCTTGTGCAATCGCTATAAAATTTTCACCATTGATTGACTATAAATTGAAGTTTGTCAAAATGCAGTTTTTAGTAATAAAAATCAATATCACTTTGACAAATCTACGAATTCAAATCTACGCGATCTAGACCTGCTACTGAAAAACCGACACCAGGAACTTAAAGTGTGGTGTTTACCTAATATCCTCTGTGAGAAGTAAAATATTATGTATTTTTCAATTCAAATAAAACATAAATATATATTTTAAAACCTATATTTTCAATAACAACCATAAAATATTTGATGTAAAAGTTCTAAATAACTCAGCTTACTATTTAGTAGCGTCTGAATGTTGCTTAATATCATATGCCATTGCTAGGAAATTTTGGTGCATTTTCTTTCTTGTGATCCTGAAAACTAACCTGTTTTCTTACCACCTGTCTTAGCGCATATTTATCAATCCTTAAATTTAAGTTCGTCTTGACACTTCAAGGTGTTGCAATGAATCAATCTTGATGAAAGTTTCTGTCAGTACTATATACATGGTGAAGATTATGTGAAGGGGTTTTACAAAAATTCTGTCGAGCCGTTCTAGAGATACACAGAAAAGGTCAAAATTTAGAATACGTATGCACTTAGACAGGTGGTGGAACTTTCATCAAGATTGATTCATTGCAACACCTTGAAGTGTCAAGACGAACTTAAATTTAAGGATTGATAAATATGCGCGAAGACAGGTGGTAAGAAAACAGGTTAGTTTTCAGGATCGCAAGAAAGAAAATACACTAAATTTCCTAGCATTAAGATATGATATCAAGGAGTAATCTGACGCTACGTAATAATAACTTGAGTAGTTATTTTAAACTTTTTTATTAAACATAATTGTCACGGCTTTTTGAAAACATAAGGTTGGAAATTTATTCACGTTTTATTTGGGTTCAAACCATTTTTTTACTTTTCATGGAGGTTGTTTGCTAAACAAGGCTTAAATACCACACTTAAAGTTCCTGGTGTCGGCTTTTCAGTAGCAGGTCTAGATCACGCAAAATTTCGGCTTTTATCCATTTCAAAGCTTTTTTTTCTGTTTTCATACTGGTATCGTTTTTTTTCACTCACTCTGCATGATCCCGCCGAAAGAACTAACATGAGGATACAAAAAATGCTTTCCAAATATGTCAGTTTACGGATTAGAAAATACATGCTTTGAAATTCGAAATGTGGGCTATTTTTTGGTAAGAAAAAATGGTTTGTGTGAATGAAGATTTTCATGAATTTATTCAGTTAATTTATTTTCAGTTTCAGGTTGTTTTGGGTATTAAGTTCTTCACTGGATAACCAATGTCCGTGCAAAAGTGATACTTGAACGATGAAACTTCTTCTAGGCATACATTTATCAGTATTAGATAAAAATGTACAAGTCAGTCCACCTAAAATCAGCCGGAGGAGTCTAAAAATAATTATGTATAACACCAAGGCCAGAAATTCGGAACCAACAAGCGGCAATGGGTGATTTGCATTGCGTAGGGCGCTTCACACGTTTAGATCAGATTATTAGAGATTTCAAATAAATATGGTATTTGCAGTTTATTTACTGGAAAATACAATTTTGGTGTTGTCCGAGGTTGGGGCATTTGCACCCTATTTTTAAGCTCCACTGTGGGCTGGAGTTTTTGTATGAACACCTTGCCCCACCTTGGGGCATTTTTAACTTGTCCAAAACAAAATGACAAATGCCGGGGGAGGATGGGAACGCTTGGAATTGACTGAAACATTATTTTAGCAGCCAAATGTTTTTGTCAGTGAGACTGTTGCGTGAAGTCCTACGAAAGAGAACGCGGCCAGCCAATTACCGAGTGGAATATGATGAAATACGTCAACTTGCGGTCCGCCCCTAGTGGTTCCAAATTTCTGGCCATGCTTGCGGTAACTATTATGTTATCGGTTAAACAATAACGTAAATCGGACGTAACTTGTATTCAGTTCTTTCTTCTTCGTCTCTAAAAGGGAGAGACTGGTCTGGGGAACAAAATCCTTTATGATTATATCTCCAAGCAAAGACCATCACTGATTTTAGGACCTGGAAGGTCAAATGTTGCACTCTCTGTAGCAGACACTGCAAAATACTGGAAAATTATTCAGGTTAGTTATCATTTTCTTAGTATAGTGATGCTTTTCAAACCAAGGAGCTAAAAATGTGACATATCACGTCTTATTTTAACCCAAAAGGTAGATTTGAGAAGCTGAACTCGTGTCCAAAATAATAACGACTTTTCCTAGCTGGAAACATTAAATTTTTCATGAAATGCTACTATCAGTAACAAACTTAGAACTTGAAATGGAAATAAAATACTCGCTCGTCAATAGGTGTGGAGTTTTCAAAATCTTATTAATTTCTTGAGACGACGAAATCCAAGATGGCATAATCAATACGACAGACATTTAAGAAACGGTCCATATAAGAACGATAGCAACAACGGCAACCAACATGTTGGAATGCAAAAAAGGTGCTATTTTTTCTATTGTCTGTACTTACTTCTAATTGGCTTAAACAGCAAAAGTTATCAAAACTTCATAAAGCTATACATATATTTATCCTTACTTCCCAACCATCTTACACATAACAAAATCTGGTCTCAGTTTGATTAACAACGAAATCCTATGTGTGGAACATGTAAAATTGTAAACTTTTCTTGGCTATTGTTTACAACTCTTGTGATTGGTCAAAATCTTTTAACACACAAAAATATTCTTTCAAAGTGGAGTGTAAATGCATTTTATTGCGTAAACGGCCTTCATGTAGGTTTATGCATTCTCTGTGCAAAAATGAGAACATTTCTATGTCCTTACCCGGATCATTAATTAAATAATGATGGAATCCGTAGATAATATGACGCCATTACGTCACGTCACCTCACGGCCGGCTTAACGTTTGGTATTCTAAATTCCAACTCTAGTATAACAATATAGTGGTCTTTCTTTANATTCCATTGGAAGAGAGTGTCAATATTATTTTTCAGCAGAGATATGTATGTGAAGGTATGAAGTACAATTTTTATCACATCACCTTTATGCGATTGCAAGAAGTTTCAAATTCAGGTTTTCTTCTTTCTGTGTTGATATTAACATTATTCTTTACATTTATATTTACCGTTGATGTTCCTTCTAATTCCTTTCAACTATCAATTCATCGATCTCATCTAAGCCTTTTTTTCCCGTCTATAGATATTTGCAGTCGAGACTAATACATTTTAAACTGTTAGAATGTTCATACATTTCATTTCTTTCAAAATCTAAGGCTGCATCTGATTTAAAAGACCAATGTGAGCAAAACAATATCTCTGTGATGTCTTATGGGAGCTATGCAGATACAAACGATGCAGAGAACCAGCTTGAGCACATCAAGGTGATCACGAACGATGATTTCAGCTGCGTTATCCAATAGTTTCAGTTTTGGAATTAAGGAGAGCAAGACACATACGTTTCCTTAAGTATCAATCTTTCCACCCTCAAATGGCTGTTTAACTAGTCGTCATAAGGATAGCTTTGGTAGAGCAAGATAAACAAATTTGCTAAGGCGAATGCACTACAAGAAATGTGACATTATGAAGGATGGTTTAACGGAAAAATAAGACGACAGTAACAGTCCCAACATGGGTGAAGAAAGGGGAAGCCGAAAGTCTTGAGCGCTTCGAAAGTAGAGAATAGGAATCTTAAAAGGGAGGATAAATCACATACAGCAATGGATTTTAAGCAGCGACGTTTTTAAGGGATGCACAAAAAACGGAAGCGAGCCATTTTCTCCTTTACATGCCTTGACGCTGCCAAGTTTGTACTGCGGAGTGTCTTTACTCTTAAAAAGACGATTTGCCAAAAACTTGTTCAAAATCACGGCTCTAGAGTGCAAAAAGTCCACTCCCGGTTGATGTGCGTCGCTCATAAACATCGCTGGTTAGACTCCCTATTGAACCGCTTTCAACTATCACGGATTATGAAATACAAACACGGATTGGCAAACACTAGTTCATTTTAACATGTGTGAATGTAAGTGCGGCAAAGCGCAAAGGTTTTTATCAAGACTGAGGATGAGCTCTCTCTTGATTTCACTTAAACTAAGTGTCCGGTGTTGCATATAAATGTATTTGTTTTGCTTTGAAAGTTTCCGATTTCAGCAACGTGAAAGAAGCCTATTAGAGGGACATGATTTTAACTAATATTTGTTTCCTAACTTGTTTATAACGTATGTTTTCCTTTTTACAGGATATTGATGCGAGGATTATATTCGCCTTTTTACAGAAGACAACGAGTGTGATGTGTTTGGTAATAAGCAAAGGGCACAAAAGCGCATAACTCTAAAACTCACGATAATAGAGAGGTTTAGCACCACGTACTTTCACACACCAAATGGCAAATCGCAAACGCTACTTACTACGTACTATTTGCTTCCCAAATGAAATGGAAACTGGGCGTAATGCCATCCATCCAGCGAAAGCGGATATTAACCACAGTCTATAATCTAAGTCAATTCCATCAATGTTTCGTGAGCGACATGAAATAGAACAAAGTGAAGTTGAAGCATACAATCCTTAATGTATTTCACAACCAACAAAAAGAAAAACAAATCATTTATATATAGATTTTCCCCCACGCCCCACGTTTTTAATGGACGTGAAAATCTTAAACGGCAGGCGGGAGTGAAAAACATTGAGAGGTCACAACAGTCTCAGTTATCAGTTCCAACATGTAACAGTGCTGTTTTTCCGTGGTCTCTCTTTTAAAAGGTTTACAAGCACAAGTTGTATGGTAATAAGTACGGCTGGGTAGTCCACACTCCCGACGCGCCTGGATGGTGGACAAGAACATACTCTTTTCTTGACTGCACAGCTAGCCAGGTTAACGACGCAGCCGCATATACAATTCATATTGACCATCTTTATTTAAGCAAGTCCAAAGATCCAACTATATCTGGATTGGTGAGTACGATACATACAGGCGGGCTGCATTGTTTTATTAATAGACGGTATGCACGGTACCCGCCAATTTTGCTCGCGCTTTTCAGGGGGCCAACAAGTGATAAAATGTGCCAATACCAGTAATTATTACGTAATTTATTGCTTGCCGTCACGGCATCTTATGTCGCTACCGTAACCAATATGGTCCTTAGTTTCTGTTGTTTTGAGAATATAATAATGATATTGATATTGATAATGATCATGATCATGATACTGTTAAATACTGGAAGGAAAAAGCCATACATGGAGAGTTTGCTCGGCAGACGTCAGCTGCAGCTAGAAAGGATGCTCAAGAATGTTTTTGTTGTTGTTGTTGTTTGTTTTGTTTTTTAAGAGGGGCTCGATCGTCGCTGCTCGCTGCTCTAGAACAAGCTTTGAGAAAAGATTCGGTCAAGCACAGCATAGATATAATATCAGACATCTGAGACACCAGTGTGCAGATTGTGTGTTGACTCCACTGAAAGAGTTTGGCGTATTATCAGAGGAAGCAGGAAGCTTACCCAGAAGGAATCTGAAGCGCCACGACTAGGTAGCTACTAGATAGGTTGGCTCTACGGGTACAATGGGAGCTTTGCAGGATGCATGGGTTAATAATAATAATGTACCGACAGGTTGTACAACCATCAACCCTTACCAATTGCAGAGATCAAAGAAGTGAGGTTAACTTGGGATACGACTATATTTACGGACAAGCGACTGAAGTACAATCGAACAGATATTACTGTAGCACTCAAAGAAACAGGACTGGACAGTTATCGACATTGCTGTGCCAGTGGACCAAAATATCCTATTTTAACTGAGGAGAAGGTGGAAAGGTATCAAGACCAAGTTCTCGAAGAATCCACTGACCCACGAGGGTGACAGTAATACCCGTCGTGATTGGTGCACTAAGAACCACGTCGAAGAATGAAAAAGCTTGGTATGGGAGGTTGGGTCTGCCTGGCATTTTTGGAAGTGCACAGTTGTCAGCCATCCGTAGTACTGATCATATCTTGCGGAAAGTGTGGAGTTGTGTCTCTTAGCAACGGGACGCTGAGAATACCCTGAAAATAACAGGGAATCAGACAGAATCACAAATACTACTACTACTACTACTACTACCACTACCACTACCACTACCACTACCACTACCACTACCACTACCACTACCACTACCAC